AACCCGGGTAAGCGTGGTATCCTAGTACGGGCCCGCCAAAATTTTTCCCGCGTGAATTCATAACTCGGAGTCCTGAGATGTTAGAAAGTTGAAATTTTAACGGAATGTTCCCCGTCCACGTAGGTACTTATGAGCTCAAACCCAACCCTCGGATAAGTGTAATACCCACGTACGGGCCCGCCAAAATTTTTCCCGCGTATTCATAACTCGGGGTTCTGAGACGTTAAAAAGCCGAGATTTCGAGAATGTTCCCCGTTCAAGTAGGTACTAATGACCTCAAACTCAACCCGCCGGTAAGCGTGGTACCCGCGTATGAACCCGCCAAAATTTTTCCGGGTGAGTTTATAACTCGGAGATCTGAGAGGCTAGAAGACTGTAACATTAAGAGGGTGTTTCTCGCCCACATTAGTCTCAACCAGATCAAGCCCAGCCCTCGGTCATGCGTGGTACCTACGCACGGGTTCTCCAAAGTTTTTCTCAGGTAAGCTCATAACTCGAGAACCTGTAAAGCTAAAAGACTGTAGTTTTAGGAAGATGTTCCTCGTCCAAGTAAGTCTTAACGAGCTCAAACCCAGACATCGGGTATGCATGGTACTCGAATGCGGGCTCGTGAAACATTTTTCCAGCAAATTGCTAACTTAGGAGCCAGGAAAGCTAGAAAGCTGAAATTTTAAGGGGGTGTTTCCTACCAGTTTTGGCGGCCAGTCTTAATTTGTTTAGCTAGAATGATCTGCCGAAAAAACCGATGCCGGTAGCGACAAAAACTGCAAGGAACTATGCAAAAAACGCATCACCGCACGGACAGCCCGTGCGTTGGCCAATTATTACTTCTGCGACTAGAAAAGCTGGAAGGCAGAAATTTTAGAGGCATATTTCCACTCCATGTGTCACCCTCCCGTTTTTAGGTCATCGCTCATACGTGCCTAAATCCTGCGCGCCTCCTCACCCCCTCCCCAATATGCAAATTTCTTTGGCGAGAAATAATTTTGGGAACCAGCCAAGGCCGAAGACTGAAACTTTCCAGGGATATTCTCTGTGCATGTATGAGCTATTCAAACTTAGCTGTCGCGCACGCCCGTACTGCACGTACGGTAGCGGCAAATTTCGCAGCTGGTAATATGCCGATTCAAAAACCAGCCGGAAAACAGTGACTGTCAGAATATTTGTCGTCCATGTGAAAAATCGCACACCTAAATTGAGTTTCAATTTGCATCTGTGCCACGACTTAGGATACTTCAAAGATATTTGTAGCGAAGTGGCTATTTCGCTCACCAGAAAACCCGCGGAACTGAAACTTTGCGAGGATATCCAAAATTGATGTGCGGTCTTAATTCAGCTTGGTGATGAAATTCCCTGCATGCAGACATTGTTATGTACTCAATTTTATCACAAACTCGAAAGTGAATGCATTTTACGGGTTTCGCAATCCTCTTCTGATGTCCTTCAAATGTGCATTTTTTCGATGAACGACTGTACATCGCAAAACCACCGGGCTTCATGCAAAAAAACTGATAATCATGCACACTGTAGGTTCATGCACTCTCACGATGCAACGCTACAATCCCAACCTGTATGCAAGAAAACGTTAAAACACAACCAGTATATATCCACGTGTTAAACTGTAATGCAGGAACTAATCATGCTTTTAATGATCTGACTGGTGCAAGTCTAGCACAAAAATGCATGACCGCACCGGAAAGCCTGATGCGTTCCAACCCGTTTTTGCTGCGCAGCGCTATTGCGCCGCTACAGCCAGCAAAAACGCATATTGTCGAGAGGCAGTCTGTGTGTGTGTGTGTGTGTTCAGAAAGCGAGTGCATTTTGTCACCCACTTTCATCTCAGCAACCAGGAAAGCTGAGAGGCTGAAACTTTGGATATGTGTTCCTGCCCCATTTTTAAGTGTATCATCCTTCTGTTTTAAGATCTTTCCCAATACGCGCCTAGACCCCGCATACGGGACCCCCAAAGAAATTTGTTGGCGGGAAACGATTTCGCGAACCAGGCAACGTAGAAAGCTGGAAACTTTGCAGGGATATTCTCGCGTGCGAGATAAAAATTTTAAACTCAGCTCTCTAGCTCCCCAACCACAGTCTCAAACAGCTCCTGAACCCAAAAGTCGTCAGCAGCTTGGGCCTGAACCGCAACTGTATATGCAAATGAACATGGATTTTTTGGAAAACGACCGTTTGAGCGATACTTTCAATTTTCAATGCACTGAAAATTTGCATATTTTCAAGAATTCATTCGCAGCTCGGACCTTAACCGCAATCATATATGTAAATGAATGTGGGCTTTTTGATAAACGACCGCTCGAAAAATAATTCCACTTTTTAGTGAACTAGAAATTTGCATTTTTTCAAAAAAGTTGCATTTGTCATTTTTTCACAAAGCGAGCATTTACCGAAAA